TTAAAGTTAACTGAAGCTTCCCTCTTTCCTGATCTCCATTACCCCGAAAATTCTTTTTTCATCACTCGTTGCACATGAAATCGAATAGTAAAGTTTAACGATTCTTCATTTTGTCAGACAATTTTATCTTTTTGGTTAAAAAAAAATTGATATGCTCTCTTAAACCCAATTCTTTTCACCACATTGTTTCACACGAGAGACGAAAGAAAACAATTATAGACTTCAAACAATCGTTATTGAAATTTGAACCTAATTTATAATTAAAAGCTTTTCAAACTCCAATCTGTTAGTGCTGGAATTTTATTACTTGTTAAAGTTTCGAACTCTAACATCATGTCTTAGGATTGTTATTGTTTTTGGCGAATGTAGTTTTGTTCGGGTATTATATTCGTATTACATTTGAATTAGTGGCTAAAATTTCGTTTATTGGCTCAAAAGTTGGCGATTTAGTCAAAGTTTTACATATTAATTAAAAGCATTTTAACTCATATTAGCTATCGGTTAGTTTGTAGATTTTGAAAGTAAATTTTCCAAAAAAAAATTGAAAACATTATTTGATTATGATATGTGGTCAATTATTTGCTTATGACATTTGGTAAATTTTTGAAAATCTATCCTCCGAAAACTTTCGATTTATTGGGTGAAATTTTAGAAGTTCAAAAACAATTTCAAACATAATGATATCTATGTGAGATTAGATCTTAGGCCTAACTCATCCCAAAAGTTAGCTCAAAGAGAGGAGGACTGTCCAAACCTTATAAGGAATTCAACCATCTCATTAATTATTGATGTGAGACTTTTGTCATTTTTTAACACTCCACCTCACGTCTATGCTTAGCATCTGATGCGTGAACAATTTTGATTTTTGAAGGTCCCAAAATCGAGTGAGATGGGGTCCTGCTCTCTCTGATACCACGTGTTAAGTATTAGGTTTAACTGTCTAAACATAACTGTTAATTTAAAAAAACTTTTTTTCAGCAAACATAATGAACTCATTATTTTGAGTCTGTTTGTATTGTTATTGGGAAGTCAGAAGTGTTTCTCTCTTTTTTTTTAGAAAAATTATTTATTTATTTTGAAAAATTAAGTGTTAAGTAAATCCTTAGAAACTGCTTTTGAATGAAAGCACAAACAATTTTTCTACTGTAGAAGCTAAAAGTTTCTGCTTTTTAGAAAAAGACAAAGCAAAAAAATTATTTTTTTAAAATTAAAATATTTTTAATATAAAAATATATTTATCAATATATCTCTTATTAATTAATTAATATATCTCACAAGCCTCATTGATTTTCATTCAAAAAATTTATTTCTTAATTTTTATATGATAAAATTTATTTTATTTTTTATGTTATTATTCATATTTCTACTGTACATATCATTTACGTATTTTTAACAGAATTTAAAACAAATGTAACAACAATAATTTTGTGGAATAAAAAAAATGTAAAAAATAAAGATTTAGACGCTACCAATAAAGTGACAAATAGCAAATTTTCATTTTTTTAATTTATGTATTATTTATTTGAATTTGAAAATTTTAAAATTTTTAGAGTATTATAACAAAAAGAAAGATAATAATTGAGATTGAACCCAAGAGAATAAGTACCAATAACAAAAAGATTCTTCTGTTCAATATTTATCTATTTACAATATTGATTTAAAAATTTAAATATGTGCATTTTAATTGATTAAATTATAAATATAACTAAAGTTTTTGTATTAGTTATTTAAAATAGTTTGTCTCTATAAAATAATTTTAATATTAAAAATACATTAATATTTATCATTTTTCATAATTGACTTTCAAAAGCATTTTCTTAAAAGAAATAGTCAAACATAAATTACTTATCAAAAACACTTTTTAAACAAATTTACCGACCATAAATTATTTTTTTTGAAACACTTTTTTAAAAAGCTTATCTTTTAAAAAAAATACATGTAAAAATAATCTAATAATACTATCAAACAGCCTCTAAATTAAATTCAACTCGATCTAATTTTCTTTTTTACATCCAAACCGTTCCCCCAAAGTGATGGATAATTTCCAAAGTGGAACCTGGTCCTAGCCATAGAGTTATGTCTTCTCTGCTTTTCCCGTCGAGTGCATTTCACAATTTCGTGGTTGCAGTAGGGTAAAATAAATCGTTTAATATATAATAATTTTAAAATAAAATATATGATTATTTTATTGTGTATTCAACCGAAGGTATTAATAAATTTAAATTATTTGTGAAAAAAATTATTTATTTAGACATACTTTATTATCATATTTACTATTATTATCTATATTTTTAAAATATTATGTATCTTATCGGTGATACATGTATCTTTGCTCTAAGATACACTAAAATTGGGAGAGAGACGAACGAAATTTTGGAGGGAGGTGAATAAGAATCATTATATATTTTAAATACATGTGAATTACATTAGATATACGCATTTGTGTGTGTGTGTATATATATATATATATATATATATCACCTAATTTTGACCCATATATCTCGAAATGTATGTATCTGAATGTATCTATACACATTAAAATTTGATAAGATATGTAACATTGCAAATCAGAATGTATTTAAGTAATTAGCTTGTAACTAATGAAATCTATGTAAGTTTCCCATTATTTATCACATCATATACCATAATAATAAAATAAGTTATCCCCTCTCTCTCTATATATATATATAATAAAATGACTTATTTCGAAATAGTCCCTCTTCTTTGAGTTACGGCTCAAAGTGATCCTTGAGTTTTTACATGAAGCACTAATAGTCCCTCATGTTTGCAATATTGGTGTACTTTTGATCCTTCTTCAAAATTTTATTTTTTTGCATTGATTTATCAATAACCTATTTATGGGATATTCAATTATCATTTTATATATTTAGTAGAAATAACAACTTCATATCAAAGAATGTTAGAAGAAAAACACTTTGTTTTGTTTAGTAGAAATCGTATTGCAGGTAAAGTCGAAAGGTTCATTACGATAATTTCACGCGCAATAGTATAATTTTTTCTTTTCCTGCAAAGTCATATGTTAATTAGAAGTTCTTAGTTTAGCTGCACTAATATTTCTAGTGAACATAACAAAATGTTTTTCTTATCACCTTCTCTCGGATAGATTTATTATTTATATTAAATATATATAAAAGACGATTGGACATTCCTTATATAAAATTTTGAACAAAATTGATATTAAAAAATAGACAAAATTTTAAGATAGGATCAAAAGTAGATAAATATTACAAATACGAAGGACTATTAGTTCTCTACGTAAAAATTCAATGATCACTTTAAGCCTTTACCTAAAGATGAGGAATTATTTTGAACCTTTTCTCCCAAAACTCGTTGTACTGTAGTACTCGTTATTCGTTGCATCTACAGTTTTGCAGCGTGCAATACATCCAAAACGGATCATTACACTTTTGTTTGTCGAGGGAAACAGTTCATTCTCTGTAGTTGTACTGCTATTTTATTTTATTTTTTTATTTTTCTAGTTTATGTGATATGTTTGATTTCATGTAAAGTTTTAAGAGAAAATTGAAATTTATAAACAAAAAACAAACTTTATATATTATATGACTTTTAATCACTAATATTACAAGAGGAAATTTTAGACCTGTTACTATATACAATCTTTTTCTATCTTTGTCAATGTTAAATTGATTTTCAGAAACTATTTTGGGCAGTATACAATTGATGCTCAAAGAGGGATGTTAGAACTTAGACGAGATACTTATAGAAAAATTATTTAGCTCATATGTAGTTTAAACCTTTTTTTTTCAAAATGTATTTTTTATAGATACTATTCATAGTTAAAATAAAAAAAAATGAGGTATTAATACTTATAAAATTACAAATAAAGGAATTAAAACATAGTAAAAGTTTAATGGATTGAATTATAACCCATAGTTCAGTTTAGTTTGACTTTAAATTTGGATTGATGAAATTCATTTTAATCCGTTCAAATTCAACTCAATCCGTACATATTTCATCTCTAATGAGATTAAATGATTGTTTACCATGAATTCAAGTAACAATTTGACTCAAGTAACATTTAGATTGATCAAACTCTTTTTGATCCGTTCAAATTCAGCTCAATCAGTACATATTTCATCTCTACCATAGTTTAGTTTATTCAAACTCAAGTAACAATTAACGTCTCTAGTTTACAAGACAAAAAAAATATCAGAATAGAATTATTAATTTTTCCTTATTTCATCTTTATAAGTAATACTTTTTCTGTCTAAATTTATGTAATATTTTTTAATTTTTTTTTCAAGAGTTATAAAATTTAAGTTTAATAGAAAATTTACGCATAGAATTTAATATTTTAAAATAAATTTTATATATATTTATAACTAGAATAAGATATATAAAAATTAAAATATTTTATGAAAAAAACTTGTAATCACATTCTTAAAAAGGCAAATAAAATAAAGATAGAACAGGCAAAAATGACTAGAAATTCTCTCTCCTCCTTATGGGAAGAGGCAGTATGAGTGAGACTTTGGGTAAAAGAAAAGAAAAAAGAGTGCACGAAAAACATTGAGAAGGTGGAGACTATCATCATCATCTCTCTTTATATTCCTTTCTCCCTTAAAACTTTCAAACCCCCCAAAAAATCAAAAGCAATCATCATGTTTTCTGAATCATCACCACCAAAACCTTACTTCTTTCACCGCCGTCATCATTGCTCCCACAACCAAAAATATTTCAAAATATCATCATTACTATCATCACCATATACTCCTCGTCAGAAAAAACGTGGTCATCATAATGATGTTTATCTTCGCGATAATGATAATGATAATGATGATGAAGACGACGAAGAAATTAAAATGGAGAGAGTATATTTAATTAATTGATTTGGATCAATTGAAACAAATCCATTCTCTCTCTAAACTCACTTTTTTTTTTGCCTTTGTTGGGGAATCAAGCTTCCTGGTCCGATCCCTTTGCTATTTCAAGCAAAGTTATCACGTTTTTTACTACTAGATCTCGCACTCGAAGAAATATTGCTATTTGCAGGTGGGTTTCGTTTTTTTTTTTTGTTGAAGTTTTTAGGTGTGTTGTGTTACTGAATCTTAAATGGATCTGTTTTTATCTAAATGCTATTCATCTTTTACTTCAATTCTATTTTCAAATGCTTTATATAACATAGATCGATGGATCTTCAATGAAGGTATTATAATCAAATTTAGGGTTTCAGTTTGATTAAAAAATATCTTTTGTATATATGTATTATTAGGTAAAACGTGTATTTATAATTGTATGAGAACATCAACAAAGTGCGCATACTTAAAGTTTTAGACTTGTCAAATATAATCATATGTATTAGGGGACATGTTTGGTGTTTAGATCTATGATAAATAAGCTAAAGAAATTAATTTATTGATGTAGCAAGTTACCGAACAGACTATGGTAAGATATTGAGCTATTGTTGTTGGGAATCTCAGGATTATTTCATCCCAAAATAAAATAATTTTGGAATTAGCTTAATACTTCAAACTAAATATGAAATAAAATTAATTATCTTAAAATTTATTCCAAATCAAACGAGTCTGGAGTGTTGTTGGACTTATTGAGATAATAATGGTAAGAGTTATTGGAATTAGTTCCAAATTTGAACTATCAGGTGGAGAGTTTGGCTTTACGTGTGGTTGGTTGGATTTTTTGCCATTATGTTCATCATTACCCTCATAAAATACCAGCAAACTGAGTGTGTGGATCTACATGTATTTGTTGTTTGGATTGATGTGAGGATATGGGATGCTTGAGTTGATATAGAATTGTAGTGGGAGGATTAGGATATAAGCTAGTACCATAAAGACTTAGTTATACTCGTTGATCGTTTATATTTATTGAACGTGTGTGATCATTTCATTTAAAAGTTCAAGATGTTATAGAAAAATACTAATTTGATTACTTATTATGTATGCTAATTTAGATATTCTTTCACGTACTGATTTGATTTATTTCATGGATAAGTATGTATAAGTTTCTTTTGATAGCTATTTTGATCTTGTATTACATATATGATTGTCTCAACTCCGAAGCTTTAAGTTATTAAAGAAATTGTAGTTTTCAATTACTTAATAAGAAAAGTATCTCGTTTGGCAGTTCAGAGAAAAAACAATAGAAGAGAAGTTTTGCGAATAGCCATCAAAAACAACTTAATTAGGCTTGATATATAGCTATAATTTGTAAGTTATAGTTCTTAGTTATATGTTAGAGGGAGGAGAGAGACGAGCAAGATTAAAAGAGGAAGGAGAGAAGCTAGCGAGATTGGAAGAGAAAGGAAAGAGGAAAGCGAGAGAGGTCGAAGAGTTTGGAGAGGTGAATTATATTTGTATATCTTCGAACTGTATATGTGTATCTATCAGATACATACTTGTATACATAGGTGTATAGCTAAATTACTGCTATGTAGAGAGGAGAGAGGCATACACAATTATAGCTAAAACGAGATTGTAAATGATAACTAATTCAAACTATAATTATATTACATAACTTACTAATTTGTTTAATTTATTCGCGTAATTTTTACTCAAATGTTAGAGCTTATAGCCCAACTCATGAATGTTACGATTTTAGCCCTAAATCTTTTCTTCTATTACAAAAGTGGCTAAAGCTTCTTTCTATCTCTTTTTTAATTAAAAATAACAATAAAAAATTGGAAATCAGGTAAGAAAATGGATAATTAATATTTATAGTTTAAATAAGGGAAATTTGTCAATATTTTAGCATTTAAGAGGACTTATTAGCAACAATTTCAATATTTAGTAAAAATGTTATTTTAGTTTGTTATGTATGAATATTATTATTTAATAACAAAAAGGAGAAAATTAAGGGGGGAAATATTTAAAAAAAAAGGCAAGATATTTCAAAAAAAAAAGGCAAGATATTTCAAAAAAAAAAGGCAAGCATCCTTAATTTTCTCATCAGTTACATTTTCAAATAAAATTTAATTTTTTTTCTCCAGAATTTTTATCTTTTTAAAATTATATTCATTCCACAATATATTCTATTTATATTTATTATAGTTTTTTATTAGTTTATATTCATTCCAATATGTATGCCGAATTTATATATATAGTCATTTAAG